AAGTGTGGCCTTACCAAGGCATTGTAAAGTGGTATTAATACTTCACGTGATCTTGATTCTATCCCTCTGTTAATGCAGCCTAGCACTGTGTTGGCTTTTTTGGCAGCTGCAGCACACTGCTGGCTCATATTTAAATGATTGTCCACTAGGACTCCGAGATCCCTCTCACAGTTACTACTATTGAGCAAGGTACCCCCTAAACTATACCTGTACATTTGGTTTTTCTTGCCTAAATGTAGAACCTTACTTTTTTCACCATTGAATTTCATTTTGTTAGATAGCGCCCAGTGTTCAAGTCTGTCCAGATCCTCCTGTATCCTAAGCCTGTCTTCTGGAGTGTTGGTTATTCCTGCCAGCTTGGTGTCGTCTGCAAATCTGATGAGTTCCCCATCTATCCCCTCGTCCAGATCGTTGATGAAGATGTTGAAGAGCACTGGGCCCAGAACAGAGCCCTGGGGCACCCCACTACAATATTTTTTTCTTAATTATTTGTGGTGTTTTGTTTGTATACAGTAGCTGTTTTCTTGCATCATGAAGTCTTGCAGAAATTCCTCAATTCATAGTAACATTTCTTTAGAGCAAAATATTTCTGAATACCAGCACAGAGGGGGAATTTGATGGATACACAGGGGTGTAGTAAGCTACCCTAAAAGATTCGGAAGACCTTAGGAATTCCTAAGATTAACAGACACAGCACAAGTATGCCAATATTACTGGATGCAACAGTAAAATGAAAAAGTACCTTAAAATTAATCCACACCAAACATGAAGTATATATATATATATATTTGAGTCACTTCTCAGATTAAAATTTCTCTTGCAATAAAAATCACAGTATCATTCCTTGATGCCTTTAAAAAAAATCTTGGTTTTTTCTTTTATGAACCTTAGAACATTTGATTTTAAGCAAATAATTGTGCTGTGTATCTTTACTACCTTCAATTATTTATGCTGTCTATTGCCACTTCTTCTATTTTGTGATCTCTGTCAAGGGGATGCCTTAATTTTCCCCCCACCGTACTTAAAAAAATGAAAATTATAGAAACCATGCAAAATGTAAAGAGAAAATATTTCCTTTAACTGGAAGTGGCCATTATATAAATATATTATATGAAGAACATTACATGAAGAAATATTTACTAAACTCCATAATTTATTTTGTCAGTAACTGGATAACATTCCTTTTCATCTCAGTAAAAGAAGTTTATTTAATTGCAATCCTAATAAACTACAATAAGTCAACAATTGGCCACACACTTGATCTTCCTTGTATTCCACACCAAAATGTCAAGTACGCTGATGAAAGTTAATGTATATTTCAGCTCAGCAGATAATATTAGATAATTTTCTATGCCATATCCACTTTACTTTTTTTAAGAGTCAAATAATTAGATGAAACAGCTGAATTTATTTATATCCTGAAACCTGGAAATATTCCCAAAAGTGTTTTTCCACAACTGCTAAGAAAGAGTCTTAGAACTGTTAAGTCCCCTAGATTAAACATTCCTGTTAGTAAACAGCATATTTTTACTGGAAGCTTCTGGAATTGTAGAAGTCAATTAAGACAGTGGAAACAGACCAACTATCAACTAATTCTTTATTCTTCTTTCATTTCTCAATAATCCAATCCCAGTCAACAACACATTCATACATTGCTTTAGTAATTACTTCTGAGAGGTATAGTTGCCAGGCAATATTGCCTATTAGGATAATGGTATTTACACTTTTATGTCTGTTCTTTGTTTTCTAGACACATTTGATAATAAAAGGAAATATGCTTCCTATTCATCTAGCAATGGAGTCATAGTTAATGTACCCCAATATTAGTAGCAGAAAGAGTCTCTTTGTTCAGAACTACAAAGGCATTCTACTAGCCTTCTAATAGCCAATGGCAGGTGACTTATTTTGCTATTACATTTCAGCTTTTCATTTCAAACTGCTGGTATTCAATGTATCTCAGGTATGGCTTTGGAGGCTATTTTAAAGCTTGGCAGGTTGAATTAAGGTGCATACTGTATTATTCAAAGAATATTTTTGCTTTATATTACAATCTTTTTTTAATTAGACAACTTGCCATAATAGAAATTTGTCTAAAATACAGGGAATCCACGATGCAGAAAGAAATAAAGACTATAGTAATTGTACTATATTCAATTTAGTAGCTACAAAGTCCCATGGGCTATCTGCTAGTCTTGTCAGTTGATGAAGCTAAATGTGAATGCTAATCCCTGGTTCAAATACTTTCACACTGGAGGAAAAATGAGATAAAAATAAGACCAACCCTGATAAACAATAACTACATCTCACTAAACTAATTAAGGTCCTGGTAAGCAACAACCTAGAACAAAACAAAGCCCAATGGTGATTTAACTATTTTATTTAGGTTTATCAACAGCATGCTAGGGATAACTGCATGTGGAAAGATAAAATAAACTTAAGTTGCACTATTTTCCCAATCTGAATTTTCCTATATTTTATTCAGGTATTTGGCCTAATTCTTTCAGGGAAAATGCTTTCCTTCTAGCTATCTATTTTATTTTACTTTTTTAAAGTGAAGTCAGAAATGAGAATCTATTCCTAACTCCATAAATGAGACCAGCGGCTTTGGGATAATTGGGAAAACATTTTTTTCAGGGTACCTGATTAATAGAAAATTGCAAGTAAGCGTAAGCAAAAACCATCTCAGACCAAACTGAAAACTAGAAACAAGGGTGTTTGGCTGAGGATCACAATGGATCTATCTATAGCTGAACACTCATAGAGACCAGAGGAATGACAATATCTTGTTTTGCTTTAACAAAATACAGCAAAGACCATGTACAGCTCACTGAAGGATACATTCTGGGTCCTCAGAACTTGGAATATACATCAAGAATGTAAGGGTTAACTAATATTTTCCATCATGCCTGATATCATTTCATTGTTTTTGCTTTCATGCTTTTGTTTTAGAAAAATGGGAAGCTAACAAGTTGCAAAGCAAAGCACCATCCTCAAGCATATTTTTTTACTTTTGAGAATGCCTTTAGAAACAGACCTCCAAAGGCATTTTTTAAGGTTAAAAAGGGTCAGTAGTCATCATCCAGTGCTGTGTTGGAAGTATATCCACCTGCCTACGAGAAAAGGCAAAGGTAAGCTAAGGATGGCAGGCAGCATTCTGTAGAGCTAGAGGTGGTAGCAGGAAGCAGTGTCTCCAGTATGAGTGTAAATGAGTGTTTGTGACTGGCCACTTCTTCCAAAGTGGCATGTCTCCAACATTCCAAATGTGTCCTATTCTAAAAAAAAAAGTGCAGGATCTTTATGATATGTTAACCTTCAACAAGAGATCTGTTCTTCTAGAACAGTGGTTCTCAACCTATGGGTCGCGACCCCATTTGGAGTCGATCAACCATTTCACAGGGGTCGCCAAGCAAGGCTGTCCGCCATTTTTTCCCCTTTCCTGGCGGGTGCCTTACCTCCCTTAAGCTGGGCCAGCTGGTGGTCGGCCTGCTCAGTCTCTGCCTCTTGCCAGCTACGCCTCGGCCGGCGCAGGGGGCGGAACCATGCATGCGCGGGGCTCCCGGGCAGGAAAAGTCCTCGACTTATGACCGGTTGGCTA